GTCAAACCTTATAGGAAAATCTTTCCTGAAAGAAGAGCCTTTTCTCAAATTTCTTATCCAGACTTACAGAGCTGTAATTATCTTAAAATTTTCTCAAGATAAATAGAAGGACTTAGACTCCAGAACAACTGTGTTGCTTGAGTCTGTTAGCCCATATTTAAGATGGAGAATTTTAAATGGGCATTTTAGAGTAATGCTCGATCACTCACTCTTATGAGGCAAACACCTTCACTGAGTGTCAGCACCTGCTTGCAGGATGTATTTTAGCAGAATAAATGTTACCTGTGAAGGTGCTCAGAAAAAATCAGTGTCACATACACACTGGTCTCAACTTCCTGGTCCGGCATTCGCCTCATGATCGCTCTTCATATATGTTAATGCTCCAGTCAAACTAAACTAGTTGCTCTCTTTTACAACTTCTGATTTCTTTCATTTGTGGGTTACTGATACAGTTTTCTTACCTTAGAATGCCTTTTGTGCCCCGCAATGCTTGTTCAATTCTACTTGTCCATCATGAGTCATCTCAAATTCTACTATTTCCAAGGAGTTTCTTTCTCAGCATAGAAGAAACCATTTCTTCTTTCTCCAAATGTCCCTGATACTTTTTCCTGAACTTCTCTTAAGGCACTTAACCCTCCTAAAGTGTAAGCTCCTTGAGGCCCGGACTTGCATCTTAACATCTGGGTGTTTTGCATATTTGAGAGGCAACATAGCAGAAGGTTAAAGACGTTGGGTCTGGGGTCAGGCTCCTGGATACATTCTGGGCTGTACTGTTAACCAGCTGTGTGATCTTAGACAATTCCTGGCATATTATAATCACTCAACAATGTTAAGTATTAACTGTTCATATTCTTCATAACACACAGGAAAGTGCATGGTATATCCATCCTGTACTCAGTAAATGTTTATTGAATGAATAAATAAAAAGACAAATGAAAAGTCATTCATCCTTGAACATTTGTTGAATGAACAGATGAATGAATAAGTTAATGGATTTGGAAGAACATTTCTCAAGCACAGTTCTTTTCGCAGAACCAAAAGAAGTTCTACTGATGTTATGCTCAAACTACTCTCTCCTAAACTCGCTGTCCCTTTAAATACTCTTCCCTCAGAACCAGCTACCAACAAGATGATATGGCTTGTACAGTATTCTATTTTTATTTGTTTAAGAGCGATTATGCTAAAGGGCTCCTTCAAACGTTTGCAGATTGAAGAAAGAGGTTTACTTTGCTTGCCTGTGAATAGGGTTGGTCTCTCTAGAAGAGATGAACGGAAGCACCTTCTATAACGATGGCATTTCTGAGTGGGGAAGTTGAAATTCAGTACCGTCTCCAAGCATCATGGCTCTTCTTTCAAAATGAACTTTGAGGCTGCTAACCCTGCATGATGTAGGCTACAGGACACTCTACTCCCTCCCTGTTCTCATCAAACAAGAGACATTGCACAAGCTGGAGGGGCAGCTGGATCACAGTTTACGCTGCCCCCAGGATACAGCTTTCATCCTAATGGTGCTTATTCAGCTGTGGGGATGCATTGCTATCTAGCTGATTTTTGAAAAAGTGCAAAAGTCCATTTGAAAACACAACCAAATCCTGCTTTTGAGATAGGGACCTTGTGTGGGGGTGGGGAGGACAATGATGAGAAAAATTTCCATCTTATTTTCTGATATTCTTTGCTTCGTGGGTGAATACTTACAGAGATGCCTGCAGGTGGTTTTCCAAAGCCCGTTTCTGATCAAATAAAGCTCTTTCTCTATGTAGGAAGGAAGCTCTCTTTTTGACTACTTTCTTAGGTTGTGCTTTCTTATGTAGATAAGCCATCTAAAATCACACAGCCACAGGTCCTTATCTGTCAGGGTCTGGTAGCAGCACTAATGGCATTTTTAAAATCCAATAAGCATGAGTTATTCAAAAAGTTATTCCTGTGGTGCCAGACACTGAGACAGCTGTAAGTTAGGAAAGAGGGATTCAGAGGAAAAACAAACAGCTGCCCTTTCTATTTTTGTGTGTGTTCCTACTATGTGCCAGGTACAGTAGCTTTTGTATAATAGTAATGAGAAAAAGAAACTTAAAAATTATTTCCATTTTCTAGAAGTGTAGAAATGGAAACGCTGAGAAGTGAAATCATTTGCCCAAGATCATTCAGGAAGGTGTACAGTGTTTGAGCTGAGCTTTCTGATATTGGCCTCCAGAGAGGAGTGGAATAAAGAAGAAAGGGCACCTTGGGAAAAATTATTGGAATAATAAAAGCAAGGGGCAGTGGTGGGGAGACAGGAGGGCCAGAGCAGGTTCTGCAAAGACTTTTGTGCGTTGTCGTTTGAACCATTATGAGAGAGAAGCTTGGATTGGAAGGTAAGCTTGCTAAGATGAAGCAAAGTTTGGAATACCAAGCTGTGCCAATGAAATTTATTCTTAAACACCTGGATTTTTCCTGTCAACAACTGTAATATAGATTAATTATAAGTAAGACTGAGTTAATAAAGATAATCAATCAAATAATCCATCAGTGATTTTTGTTGTGTTTCTCCATTATAAAAGCAATGCATACTCATTATAAACATTTTGGGAAGTGTCAAAAGAAAAATGGAAAGAAAAAAAATGACCTTTGAGTTATTTCTCAGTACAGCTACTATTCACCATTTGGTTTCTTTTCTTTACATCCTTTTTCCTTTTCTTCTAAATGCTTGGTTTGTGTGGTTTACATAATTATCATTATATTGTAAATAAAACTAGTACCACTTTTCACTTACTATTGTTAAGATATAACTTTTTTTACATGCTATAAGATCTTTAAAACTTACGTTTCATGATTATAATCCACTCATTGAATCTACCACACTTAATACAAACAAGGCTTTAGAGTTGGTATTTAGTTGCTTTGTACTTTTCACACCTGATCAATAGCATTTTGATGAAAATCTTTGTGCTTAAAGATTTTCTAAAAATTCAAATAATTTCTGTAAGATGAATTTCCCGGATGCTGCCACCAAATGAAAGGTCACATATACTTTTTAGTTCTTCTGCCATAAAACCAACTCAAGTGTTTTGTTTTTGGTTTTGTTTTGTTTTAGAGTAGCAACAATTTGTCTGGTTATCTGCTAGGCTGACTCAAAAATCTTCATTCTAATGATATCTCTAAAACCAATATGAAGTCTCATAACGTGTTGGTGATGAGGAATGTTAAAAACTTTCATCACATTTCTTTATCAAAGTAAAGAAAGATGACTTTCAGAGCTGGAAGCACCCTCAGAAAAGCATGTGTTCTTGGCCCAAAGCTGCAGATGGGCAAAGCATTTTACAGAGCAGGCAGCAAAGGCCAGGACAAAGCATGTATTGAGTAAATGGCAGAACAGTTTCTAGATCTCTAAAATCATCACTTCTGGGTCATAAAGTTCTATGGTACCAAGGCCAGTCCTTTGGCTCTGTCTGCTTAGAGGTGGAATTCTTAGCATTTGATACAGCGCCATTTACAGGAGTCAACATTCTCCCCCAAAGAAGTCAATCGATTCAGAGACAGTGTTCCATCAGAATTCCAGTGGGAAGAGTTTGGTTTGCGCCATGTTTGATAGGTTTGTTTTCTCACATATCCTACTCCCAGGGTACCAAAAAATTTAGCTACCTACTCAACAAATATTCCTCCCTCTTCAAACTTTCCAAGCCTTTCTTGGGGAGATTACAGCCTCCCTGTATTCAGTTCTTACTAATCCAATTATAGTATCCCACTTATGACCAATAAGATATGAGGGGAAACTTATGTCTTCTGGGAAGCTTTTGGGAACACTTTACTTGTTCATAAAAATTGTTACATGAAAAAGATACCTGCTTTTGCTGAATGTTTTTGTGACTGCACATGGTGCCTGGAACTGCAGCAGCAACCTTGTGATTTAGAAGAGAGTGAGGATTTCAGAGTAGAATAATGAGGAAAAAAAAAAGTTCCAAATGATGTCTTTGTGTTGATAAATTAAATCTGAAGCCTCCTTGCACTTCTTGTTATGTGACAGAATTATTCCTCATTGTTTAAATGAGCTGATATCAAGCTTTCTATTATTTAAAGTTCAAAGTATCTTTACTGCTGTAATATATATGAATGAAATCCTCAATCATGGTGCCACCTCATCTGGATTGCCAGGGTACTGCATTAGTAGTTGCTGCTTTGGACAGGTTAAAAAATGCTCAGCTTTGCTCTCATTGCCTCAAGGAAATCTTTCTTATCCTCTGCCTACACTTTCTACTCCATTTGGTTTGGATGTTTCTCCTCTGAGCTTTCATGATAACCTTTTTAGTTTTATTGTATTAATGTTGTTTCTGTCTTCCCACTAAGCTTTGAGTTCTTTGAGGACAGCAACTGTTTTAGTCATCTCAGTAGCTCCACACTTAGAATTCAAAATAGAAAACAAAATAAATTTTTCATCAGATTGCTAACTCTTATTTTTCGTTAAGGTATTAAGTGGTGAGGGAATGTGTTCTGTTACCGAGTCCACAAGGGGGCGTAGTTTTAAGAGAAAGAACTTCCCAGCGCCTTGCCTCCCTCCCATGCCTCTCCATCCGGGTGATTCAGCAGTTTATGTTTTAATTTTCGCTGGCGTGGGAAAAAAAATCAAAAGTCAATCACTCCAGTGGAAGGTTAAAGGAATTCCTTTCATTGGCTAGGGGGCTTGGAGAAGGTGGGAATTCCTACCAGGTTAAAAGTCCAGGTCTCCCTCATCCCGGTCGACTTCCCCCTCTGGGGTCCCCTTCCACTCTCGTGGAAGCTGCTTTTTCCTCTCCTGGATTCCATACTTGGGTCCCCTTCCACACTCTTCGTGGAAGCCTTTTTCTCTCTCATCTTTTTCACTTTCTCTGCCTAAATAAATCACTTTTCTGCAAAACTTTTTTGGGTCTGGTATCTACCAGGGTACCGCACCTGGGGTGGTCCCCTCTCTCATTCTTGGGTGAGCGAGAGACCAAGAGCCTGGAGAAACGTCCTCTCAGGGGAGCTAAGCTCTCTCCTGCACCCCAAAACTCGGCAATAGTGGCACATGTGTGTTCACATAATTTTTATTAGAATTTGGTACCTTTACCCACTCATATGCCTGCTGTATTTTCTTTTCCTATCTCATTCACATGAGATAGCATGTCACACAAATGTAAACCAAATGTAGTTGACATGAAACTCCTGTGCCCCAAGAAGAGTTAAAACTGCTTGGGGTATCTAGTCTTGCTGGAAGGATAATTTGAAGAGTGTGTGGGTCACTGAAAGCGGGAGAGAGATGCCTGTTCATTCTGCTGAATGACTTCTCATTATGCTACTGGCCACAAGGTGTCCATCTTTCAGTAGGAAGAATGCATAGCTTCTAGAGAGTGTGTCTGCAGCCACCCCCAGCTCAAGGGACTTTGAGAAGTTGTTTAAGGATTGTGTAGGTGGCTTGAGACTCTATCCAAAGGATTAGGAATGTGTGATCTATAATAGTTGTTCAATGACTAAGCTGCCAGCATCACAAGGCCTGCAGATGACTAATAATTATTCTCATTCTACAGTGTATGGTTTGCAAAACAAAGCAAGCAAGGCCTCAGCTCTTTTGTCCTGTGACTCATTCTTGTAAAATGAGTACCCTGGGCTCCAGAGGTAAGGTGCAGAGAAACACCAGAAATACTAGCTGGTATTTTTCATTTTTCTCCCTGCCTGCTCTATCCACCTATCTCTCCAGTCCTTTGGGGGCCACACTTCCACTTGAAAGCCTTGAGGGGAGGCTGTGCTGTGCAATGCTTAAGAATCCAACTTTTAATTCTAACACAGAGGTTGGCATCCAGACTCCCTCATTCCCAGATGTGTGGCCCTGGGCAAAGGACTTAGCTTCTCTGAGCTCCAGTGGTTCTCATTCTTAGGTGGAGATAATGAAAAAAGTTATAGAATTGTTATGGAAACTAATGGATATAAAGTGCTTAGTATACTGCCTTGGTGCAGACTAAGAGCCCAAGAAATGGTAAATATTATTAATATAAACTACAAGTTTTCCTCAGGCTGTCTGCAAAGAGTGAAATAGCTCTATGATTTGGGGACTTTTTAAAAAAAACTTCTCTAATCTTTTGTTTACTCATCTTAAATACCAATTACAATAATCTCTACCTTGCAGTTTTGTAGGCGAAGTAGAGCAGGATATGGCAAAGTGTCTGGCATACTGTAGTTCATTTGCACATATATATATATTTTTCTTTCTCTTTTTATGGTGGATGGAAGATTTCCTTCGTATGTTCAAATTTCTGAAGTAGCTTTTTCAGGTCTTCATGGTAGAAGATGTTAGTTCTTCAGCACTAACACTAGAAGATTGATTCCTAAACAATAGCATACATACTGATGCTGGGTATTTATCTACCTTGGAAGAAAAAAGAGGTTTGGAGTTTCTGAAAATAACAGAGGCCTGGACACTGTTGACATGCATTACCCTGAATAGGGTGTGGCCAGTTGCAAACCCACAGACGCCAGACCCCGGGCAGTACAATTTAGAGGTAACATAGACAAGGTGATGACAACAGGGCCCATTCCCAAATGTTCTGGGCCAGGAACTTTGGTAGTGTGCTTATTTAAGAGTAGAGAGGAGACGGAGCTCCTCCCTAATGACCTCCATTGGGCTTCCTGCCATTTTGCCCACTGGTGGCTCACAGATAGACTTTACTCAATTTTGACTAATAAAATGATGTGACATTTTGTGGATGTTAATGTGAAAATAAGTTCAAATTGAGTATATCTATAAGCAACAAGTAAGCTAGGGCTTAATCAGTAAGGCTTAATAAATGATAGCTAATATTATTCTTATTCTCTCTCAAAGAGAGTCAGGGTTTCAGGCATAAAGCTTAAGAGTGTGGATTTTGGAGTCAGAAGCAAGAATATCATTATTGTCTCCGTAAGTTACTGTCTTAGTTCTCTTAGGCAAGTCATCAAACCCTCCCTTTCTTCATCTATATGGTTCAGATATTAATAATCTCTTTGATAGAATGTGGTTGGTCATAAGAGTTAAATGATGGAATCATGTCTAGCTTGTATAAACGATTTATAGTTGCTTTTATTAATGCTATCATAATTGTATAGTAGCTGTTGAGGGAAGCTTTGTGCTTTTCCCATTACAGTTCCCAAAGATCAGTGTAGAAAGGCAAGAGTACGAGACCATCAATTCCAGCCCTATCGTGATTATTAACATTCTCTCTAGAGGTTTCTGGGATGCCTTATGATGAATATGTAGGCTTAGAAAACCGTCTTTTGAGAATAGCCATGCATTTTCATGTTGATGATCCTGACATGAAAAGCTCTGCATGGTTGGAAGTGACCAAGGACAAAGGAAGGGTGATAGGACATTTTGAAAAAAATTTAAGGCAAGAGTTTTTCTTTGAAAGTAGTGGTAGAATGAAAAAAGTAGTAAAAATTCTGGTAATATAGAAATATTGCAGTTTCATCTATAATGCCCTTTGGAGACATAAATTATTCTTTTGGCAAAATAAATCATTTGTCATAAAGTTTTTTTTTCTTTAAAGATCTAAAGTCCTAGTATGGGATGAAGAGAGAAACTTCTAAACATTTGGAGGATGTTTTTCTTTTCCTAATTTATTGAGATTGAAAAAAAAATCTTCTTTAAAGACATCTGCCATATTTTGTTTTGGGAAACCCTTCATGCTGGAATTAGTACAGACTAATATTACATCTCTTTTTTTTGGTTTTCTTTAGAGTTCAGCTCAATTCAGTATATTTTATTTCAATTTAATTCAGTATAAACAAATTTATTATTATTGGCTATGTGTTTCTACCCAGCCTTAACCAAGTTAAGACACAAAACAACGGCACAACCTCATATTTCCCTGGGTATTCTGGGTGCTTGTGTCAGCTGAGAGAATCTCAGTTACAATTGGGTAACACTGAGTTTTTCTCAGTTTACATAAGCACTCAGAATGCCCAGAGAAAATCCTACAGGTGCAGGTGGGAAGGGCCCAAGTGCATGATTCTGCCATTCTTCTTACTCCACTTGGTATCCTCATTCATTCTCTAATAGTTTTTCAAAGAAAGAGAAAATTGAAGACATAAGAGAAAATTGAGCATCATGGAAAATTGTTAAAATCTATATTTAAGTGAAGAAGTCAGGTTGCAGATCTATCTATCTATATCTATATCTATATATGGTATGTTCCAAATTTTGTATGTGTGAAGGAGAATAGTAAACATGACTTATTCTATCATCTCAACTTTGACTCCAGCGCCCAAACTAAACAATAAGTTCCCAAATTTTCTCAGTTTCTAAAACTGTGTGCTAAGCCATCAATGAAGCACTAGTAAAGGAGACATCACAGAGCCGCTTCTCTCGGCATCAGCTCATCATCCACCTCCATATAAAGGTGCTGAGTTTTGATAGGAGATTGGATATCTGGGAAAATGCCCTGGGGAGAATTACTAGAGGCAAATACTTTCTTCTCACTACAGTATAAGCAAAGTGTACCAGTCAACTATCACCGTAATAATGCTGTGTAACAAATAATCTCCTAATCTTATTGTTATTAAAATAAACATTCATTTTCATAAAGTTGCAGGCAGGTTGCAGTTTGGAAGATCCAAGCTGAGCTCTTCTTGGCAGCTCTAGTTCAGAGTGTGGTTTGGTGAGGCTTGTTCTTAGCTGCAGATTGGGTTTCCGTCTGTGCCTTGTGTCTTGTTTTTCTGGAACCAGCAATTGCCCAGGACATGATTTTATAGTGGTTGCAAAAATACAAGAATTAGCTGAAAGATGTAATGGCTCTTAAGATCTTCACCTAGAATTGGCACGATGTTGCTTCTTTCCATGATTCATTGGCCAAAACAAATCATATTGCTTGCTCTGCCTCAATGAGAGTGGAGAAATAAACGCTACCATGTGGGGAAGATGTATTTACTAAACAATAATTTGCCAAAGAAAACTAACTGGAGAACTTAATATGCTTCTCTTGGTATTTGGGAAACATAAGCACCAGTACCCTATCTTGGATTGAAAACGTTCATAGAGGACTATGTTGAGAAGTTATTACAGTTGTAGATTTAGTTGGTCTAAGATTTATGTGTGTTCCTGGTAAGCCAGGATTGAACTTTATGGAAGGGAACAGTCATGGGCTGCAGTGTAAAAGCTTTCTGAGAGGATACTACCTGGAGAGATGAAGTAACAAAATGAGATAATGTGTAAGTAAGAAGGAAGGCAAGGACTGAAAGACTGTTGTGCATGACCAGCTACAGCAAGCACTGAAGCTGCAGAAATTGGTTCTTCTTTGTCAAGAAGTATATATAAAGAATTTCTTTATTGGATGCTCTTTATAACTGAGGATCAATTAGGGCTCAGTCAGAGAAGCAGAACCACTAGGAGTAGGAATTAGATCTTACACTGTTATGGGAGCTGTTGGGCATGTCATGCAGGGCTGATAGTCTGTGTCTGATGTTGAGCCTGAAGTCACTATAGGTCATCCAAGACAGCAGCTGAGAGGGGAGATGGACAGCTGAGTTGGGAGAACAAGGGCAAACCATGAGAGGTACTGGATTCCAGAAAAACAAGCTGAAGCATTTGTGTGTCTCCCACCCATTGCCTCCAACTTTAATAATAATGGGGAAGCAGGTACTTTTCACATGGAGATGCACATGCACCTGGCCCAGGGCTTGAAGAAGCTGAAGGAAGAGATCCAGGGAGAACTGGAGGAGCTGCAAGCTCAGGAGCTGCCCCAAAGTAACAACATAGCCTAGGAGCTGCGAGCCCAGGTCCTGCCCCACACAGCAATGCAGTCTAGGTCCCCTGTAAGCCTAGGTGCTGCCCTGTACCAGCAACACAAGCTGGCTGATCAGTGAGCTGCCGTATGCATGAACTGCCAGTGTCTGGTGCCCTACACCAAACTGAAAGATACTGAGAATCCTGCTTCTTCACTATGGTCTTTTATATCTTGTGTACATTTTTCTTATAGCCTCTTCAACCTGGAACCTCAATGGAGATGAAACTCTGGGGATTGAGTTTCTGCTTAGCTAAGCTGACATGTTACAAAGACACCATGCCCTCTAATGTTTTTAGAGAGTTCTAAATAGCAGTTAGAAAGTGAGGGACAATGTGGATTGAGAAAGCAAGTGAGAGTGAAGAAACCTGCTTGAAACCACGATACCCTTTCTTGCTCAGGTTACAGCCTGATGCACATATGCGCTATGGAGTGGAGAAGAGAGTTAAGTTGGATGAGAGTTAGTATGAACTTTGTTATATGTGAAAGTGAATAGAGAAATGATGAAAATTGCATGAGATTTCATGCAAGTGCTGAGAAGAATCACCCTTAAATTATGAGATTCAGAAAATGTGATTAAGTACAGAGCTTATTCAAGTGCAAAACTTGAGGCTCACAACCCAGGAAACAGATTCCAAAAGAATTGGTCAGTGTTCCAAAGTAGATAATTAAGGCTTTCACTTGCATAGGCAGAGATGGAGAAATTTAACAGAGTCACACCGTTTTTCTTACAAGACCAATACATAATTTATAGCAATTTCATTGGTTACAGGTTCCTACATTCCAAGGTAGATTGTTTAACATTCCATAAGGAGGGGTAATAGATTCCTGGGTGTCCTATCTCTCATGCCTTTTGGTCTTTCCTAA